TTTATTTTATTTTTTTTTTTTAATTTCTGGTTTCCTTCTGAGGTTGATATTCATTACACAATTATTATTCTTATCATGGATGAATCTTTTCACTAGGTGTTCACTTCTTTTCTTTCTCTTCTTTCCCTCTAAATAAATATTATTCTTAAGATTACGAAGTTTGTAATTAAAACAATAACTTGTGCTACACTTTAATTAACTTCTCAGATTCGTTTTATCTTCACTATGCATATATGACTCATACATAGTGATATTTTATTATCCTTTTCACTTGATTATGACTTTCATAGCATCACTCTAAATTATAACTGCACAAACATTTATTCTAGTGTCATATCTTACTACAATGATAAATTATTTTTTCTTACTAATTTAACGATACACACATAGTCGTTTATTCTTGTCCTGTGTTCATAAACACGCCTATTAGACTGTTTGCGTATTTCACGTCTCCTTTATTTCTATTCCCTTATTTTCTCCATTTCCTTCTTTAAACTCAATTCAATATTCTTCTCAATTACACAGACCCGATTTATTATTATTAATATTCTATTATTATTACTCTAAATTTTTTTTTAAATATGGCAAGTATAATGCTAACATTATTGAAAATTGTGTATTATTGCATTTTCTGAAGAAACCCGAAATGGTTTCTTCACAACACTTATGTACCCATAAGATGTTTGTGAATAATAATAATAATAATAATAACTCTCCACAATCGTAAAACACAAGACCGAGAATGCAAGAGAGGTGATTGTTTGGTAAGAATCAAATATTTACAGAAACATATGTGTATTCATTGTTAATAACGTCGGATCTTACATTAATATACTTCAGCCGATCCAAAAAGAGGTAAGTTATCTTGCCGTCCAATCGTATCAAACTACGTTGTTACACTAAACAGTTCCGTCACCTTCTGATTCGGTGAAAACTCTTCGAGTCCTTTAGGGCCTCTGGAGGCCCCGCCGTGCTTACCGAAAGTCATCTCAACAGTTGTATTTAACATCAGTTAGTTTATACACCATATCTAATCACCGAACCTAATTTTATATCGCTAACTCATAATTTTACAATATAATCCTTATAACCCTACGTTGATACCACTTTGTTGTTTACCCTAGACTGTCTTGTGGTGCACTTCGTTATAATAGCTTTTGAAGGAAACTGCAATCGCATCGAGAAAAAATTCATTTGATAAAAAGAGTGAATATCCCTGGATAACCGGATCGTGCTTGATTGATTGTGTTGCTGCATGTTTGTCAACTGTCCATCAGTATCCTTTACTCACCACTCAACTTCCAGCAGAAAATATTTTTAGGTGATGCATTATGAATATCAAAGATAATTTCTAAACGTTTCACCATTTAAATCAGGGTAGTTACAGGTTTATTCTATTTTCATGTATTCAGGAGCTTCCTAGAGTCAGCCTTTGGTTTTCATGGAGTCATCCTCGAACTAAACGACAGTTTTGATGACGCTCTAAATTACTGCATTCTTACTGATACTCGTCTGACGACTCCAGTATTTCAAAGTGTTCTGGGCAGAAAAGAAGCTTTCACACAACGCGATACCGCATCTCGTATATTTGATACATTTAGTGGTAAAAAGAGAAAATATTAGTAAGTTATAGGAAATACTGCTCTAATTTTTAGAGTGATCAAGTTTTCTCTTGAATGAATCTGGGGTGTTTGAATGAACTAATGTTTCCATTGTACTTGTTGAATGCTTGATTTCCAATTCTAAATACAGTGCATTCGTTTGTGGTTATCTAGTACTTCTTGATCCGATCAAGTTATTTCTAGGATTCTTAGTTCGTACTATAGTTCAAATACTTATAAATGTTACAGAATCCTAAGGAGTCGATGGGACCAAATTAGCAGGCAATGAACGTCAATAACGGACTGGATTAATATGATAATTTTCGACTACGGTCTCAGTCGGTCGAAGCGCAACTACCTATGCCACTAAAATTATAGACCTGCTTCACAGTTATAGATTCGCCGTGAAGTCATATCTTTACCTACAATAACTCGTCCTACTGTGATAGTCGATGGTTGCGACTAAAGGCGACTTGAGGAAAAATTTAGGCTGCGAAGAAAATAATCTACTTATTACGAAAGGCAAGAAGTCTCATCTAGGTTAAGCGTTCCCGCATTCACTATTTTTGACCTCTACGTCTTTAGTTTTGAATGCAAGCATTCTCAAGTATTATATTCTGTAGTGGCTAAAAACCAATACCGTTATGGTCTATATGATATAAAATTGAATAAAAAAATGCATAAATTCAATATGTTTAGTTCTCAATCTGTTTTACTTTCCAACTTGGTTGATGATACATAACAAAGTTTTTCGTAGACATCATTGCCAAAATCGAAATTAAAAATTTCAAATAAATTGAGCATTGAGTGGAAAGCTGGCAGTAAGTATGTTTTTCGCTGTCTTAGTGGACATGAAATTGTTTTTCCCAAGATTATTACTTAAAACAAATCAAAACAAAATTATCCTTGTTTAAATAACAATTCTAGTATAAGACAATGGATTGATGTCGTAGTTTTGCCTCTCCGCTAAGGTACGACAAAAGAGTTAGAAATTTACTGAGACAAAAATGACTTTACAATAATATGTAAAGACTGATTAGGCTTCTGAGTTCAATAAAAATACCATTCATTGTTCTTTTTGAACTATTGAAATATGTGTTAGTATTATTTCTGTCATTTATTTACTCTTAAGTAGTGGCTTAAGTCAGATCATGAATCGTTAGTAACATAATCTTCTAGTCACCGGCATATAACAAAAAGTATATTTGTGGTTGAAGGTTCTCGTGCTGACATCTAAACATAGTGACTCAGATAGTCTTCCATTAGTCTGTTAATGATATATCTATTATATTCCACATGAGTAACGATGCTTTGCTACCAAGCTCGCTTGAATGCTAGCAAAGATGTATTGGAGTGTTTTTAGGAAAACCTTGTTAATTATTGTACGTTTTTCAGCATTGTCTCACGTATTAGCTACCAAGCATACTGTGAGTCTATTACAGACAAATAACTGAAGTTTCGCCACAACCAAAATAGTGACCGATTTCGTCAGCGTACCGCCTTTCTTGACCTCTGATTTAATTCGCTAGTCTCGGTTTAAACCATCAAATGGAATTACATATGTCACTTGTTCACTATTCAGTCTCCACCCACCTCTAAAATTTGATTGTTGAGTGGCTTAATAGTAACATATACTGTTGTTTCACATATTTTAAAGGCCTTCATTTTATGTTTAAACCTCAAGTGTTCAGTACGGAGTGTTCATTACTCACTTTAGTGCTGTTACTTTACACGTAAAATATCATAATTGCTGCTTTCCACGGTGAATTTTAATGCAAATGAACTTTCGAACAATGAATTTCAAGGGATTTGTGCGGGTTCTTTATGAAGTCAAATAATGGAAGCACAATACGTTGAAAATATGGGCTGCAGTGGATGAGCAAGCAAAGCAACTGGTTTACTAGACAAATCAAGCCCATATTGTCTACATGCATGTAAACTAGAAAGCGACAAATAATGTTACACCTGAATTGTAAATCAGAATGGGTTTTGTGGAGAGTTTTTTAGAAATTTCACAGGTTGAAATCATGAGTCGATTGGAGCTAGACCACCATGGAAAACCTGGAAGCACTAGACGGCCGTTTCGTCCTAGTATGGGACTCCTCAGCAGTGCGCATCCACGTTCCCGCACCACGCGGGACTCGAACCCAAGACCTGCTTGCCTGGCGCGCGAGCACTTAACCATTAGACCACTGAGCCGACATCCAATTGTGTACGGTGGTGCAACTTCGTGGATTGGTTGAAGTTAGACATTAACACCGTTGGATATCGGCTCAGTGGTCTAATGGTTAAGTGCTCGCGCGCGAGGCCAGTAGGTCCTGGGTTCGAGCCCCGCGTGGTGCGGGATCGTGGATGCGCAGTGCTGAGGGGTCCCATACTAGGACGAAACGGCCGTCCAGTGCTTCCAGGTTTTCCATGATGGTCTAGCTTCACTCGACTCATGATTTCAACCTGTGAATTGTAAATATTTATGTACTCAAGGAAACTTCGAAAACCACGGTTAATTAACCCATTACTAGTACTTAACCAGTTATACATGTTAAAGTGTGATTTATATTAACGTCCATTCCTCGAAAGTACTTTCGCATATGTTCAAAGTTATTTACTTGTGTGAAAGGTTTTTGGTTGGACGGACTGAGTCATGATAAAAATCAGTAGATGTAAAGCCTTAGACGAAGTTGGTATCGGAACACTTATCCATGTTACTAAAATGACAGATATAATCCAACTTCATGTCCCTAAACTGTCGATTGCATCAAGTAACGCGATTCTGTACACTTTAATGTAATGGTATTAGTAGATTTGAAAAAGCCCTGAACGCCAGTCTTCTTCAAGCGTAAATTGACAGGTAGTTTGCACATAGTTTGCAATTGTTATTTTACCCCCAAGAGGTTATTTTTGTTCACAAGTTTTTAGAAGTATTGATATGGAAACAAATCGTATTTCCGACAGTATTAGAAGGAGAAGTTACAGAGCAGTGCGAATATGAGACACTGCATTTGATGGAAGATGGTAAGTCGATAAAAACAAGGACGGATATTAGGCCATGTTGAACTAACGAACAGCATCAATCAGTTCCAGAAGAGCCTACTGATTACTGAAGGGTATTTACCAGTTCTTCAGTATTTTGGTATTTTTTTACAATATAGAGAGGTTTACGATGACGAAGATATATTTTTCACAACCGGGAGCAATATCTCTAACAATCAGGGCTTTCCATCGATCTTTATGTTTTCTTAATCGTAAAGACAGTTTTAAACGAACCAAATTTATTGTGTTGAAAAAAAGATTTTAAGCTGTTTGTATTAAGAAAAAATAGTAATTGCCTTACCAAACTGACTGCTCTTAATTTTGTGACTTCATATTTGTTCGTCTTCTTCTTTTTTCTTTTTGCCATTTGATGGCGGGTGACTCAGCCGATCAAGGTCAAGGCGATGCACAGCTGATCCAGGAGGTTGAGTGTCTGAAAAGAAAGCTTGAGGACGAGCGCAATAAGCTTTCTGATGAAGATCGTTAGTTTTTTAAAAGTCTTATTCTGTAGTTGTCACAGCTAGTCAGCACCTAGATGCAGTGCCGTCTTTAAACATTCGGTTACGACGAGTACTTAAAGGTCATCAGGGTAAAGTATTGAGTCTCTCGTGGTCTTTAGATAAACGGCACATAGTAAGCTCTTCACAGGTAATGTTTGGATTCTTTTTTTTAATTGCTTAGGATGGAAAAATTCTAGTTTGGGATGGTTTCACTACATCTAAAGTATCGGTCATATCGAGATTTTTACTCAACCAAATTTGTAGGAATACTCAATATCAATGCCTACCACCTGGTTAATGTCATGTGCATACAGTCCTTCCGGAGGCTTCATCGCCTGTGGGTTAGTTAAAGTTGTTATCATAGCCAGTTACTAATCTGTATTTATTTTTAGTGGCCTTGACAATAAATGCACAGTTTACCCACTTCTTTCGGAGGAGGACCCCATCCTCAAGAAAAAGCTTGTAGCAACCCATACTTCATACTTATCCTGCTGTTTATTCAACATATCTGATCACCAGCTGCTTACAGGGAGCGGAGACAGTTCATGTGTCTTATGGGATGTTGAATATGCACAAATAATACAAAGTTTCTATGGTCATTCTGCGGACGTGCTGAGCATTGCACTATCGCCATCAGAATTCGGAAAAACATTTGTTTCTGGGGTAGGCGGTTGTTTCTTCTTGTTCATAATTCTCTAGGGATGTGACAGATGTGCTAACGTCTGGGATATGCGCACTGGACAGTGTGTTCAGGTATTCCAATGTCATGACTCTGATGTCAACAGTGTCAGGTTTTTCCCTAGCGGTGATGCGTTTGCCACAGGCTCAGATGATGCAACCATCAGATTATTTGATCTGCGCGCTGATCGTGAAGTTTGTGTATACAAAAAGGATAGTGTCATTTTCCCATGCAATGCAGTTGACTTCTCTCTAAGTGGTGAGTTCAGATGTGCATAAAATTTTGTGCAAACACCTTCAATCACTATTTTGTAAATAAAAACAATTGGGGTGAATGATGTTATCTGATATATATATATATATATATATATATATATATATATATATATATATATATATATATATAATGCACGGTGGTTGGTATCGGAAAAAATATTTGCTCAAAGTATGACTGTTAGACCTTAATGATTTTTAGCAACGTATTGTATTTTATAATTGCCCTTTTAACCAGATCAGGATAAACTTTTGAGATAGATTGGTTCAACATTTACATGAAGCAATATTTGTGTAGTAAGTTCTAAGCACTAATCCAAAAGGACGTAAATTTTAATCAATGCCGTGCCACCAATAAGAAATGAATTTCCTTCTACAACCAAATGCAATCCAGGATTCTAACCCGTATTACTTCGTATGCAGCTTTTAAAAAGTACCACTTTGTTAGTCTAGAATTGATTGTCTTAGTCCCAATTGATTCTCAGAATTTCAACGTTTCATTTCTACATGTTCCCCCTCCTTTCCTCGTGCTTCCATTTTTTAGATTATTTTCCGATTAAAATGGAGTTGATAACTCTGTTATCATAAGTAGTGACCATACGTAAGAAGCCAGATATATACAGAAAAGACATGCCCATATTTTACTCATGACGCTGGCTAGTTTGTTATCGAGCTTTGTCATCTATTTCCCTCACCCCCTAAGTCCTGATTTAAAATTGAGTTAACCATATGAGTCGATCAGTCATTATGAACATACGAAGTGGCATAATTGTGTCTTGGTTCACGTCGCTGTAAAAAGTTACTGTACTATAGACTATAAGTTCTATAAAACAGTTTGAAACACCAGCTATTGAAATCAGACTTCCCACATTACTCCTAAGCTGAGCAATTTAAAAACACCCTGCATTTTACGCTTTATACGTTTTTAAAACGTATTTTTTATTCAATAAGAAAGGACCAACATTTCTCGAATATCAGCAAGAAAAGGACTAAAACTTTCAAGTTGGCAGGTAAATGGAACTTCTAATTAGCTAAATAGTGTTTGTTTCAGATCACTTCCGACCGTAGATTTGCTAGTCCGATCCTTGCTGTACTTCGTTCTTCACCGCCAGCATTCTTAACACATACAAAATATCAAGTTTCTAGAAGCAGCATTCATTAATCTCTCGTCGTGCTTCAGGTACAAAAATTTAAGTTCACTTAATGTCCAGTCAGTTTGAAATATTTATGTATTATGTTGATTTGGTAGCTGTATTAGGCAAAGCTCTAATGATTAGATGAATAGCGACTTTAAATATTTGTTCATGTAATGTAATTGAAAAAGAGTAATCATTCATTAGTGCAATAACAACATTTATTTTGTGTATCGGAATTATTTTGTTATGAACACTATCACTTAACTGCGATGTACCATAGAAAAATTCATATCAGGTTTCTGAACTCTATCACAGTAGGACTAGGATACTTGGCACTCACTTTACTTATTATAATACTCAATATTTTTTCGAGAAAGCTTAAGGAAAGAGAATTATCTAAGGTCTTTTGAATGCTAGTTATTGTGGACCTCTAAGAATGTCAAGAAATCTCGATCCATACTCTATATGGTTAAATACCGATCAAAATATCTCAGTTACATGGTCTTGCTATATGGCCCTCGAAAAATTTGGACTCATCTTCCTCCTTTTTGATGTTTTTCATACATGTTTATGACTTGGTTTCTGTGGTTGACATCTTTATGTTCTGCATGTCATAATCTCGTATACCTACCTTCCCATTTCGTTAATATCTAAAAATGTTTTACATCCTAGTTAAAAATCTAAAATGCTTAGGTGTTTCATGCCCAAACTCATGCACTTCTGCCCCCTTACGTAGTTTGACTATAAGTGGTGATAGTTAACATGTAGATTACTTAAAGTATATGTATGATTGCACTAGTCTTACTTATGATAAATACAAATCAGTAACGGAATTATTTCGATGTGTTAGCTGAGGGAAAAAGTTAAACTACTTCAGTGTGTGGAAATTCGCGCTTTTAAAGATGTAGTTGGGCTATTTTCTTACCCGAAGTAGGAAGAATTTATGGTTTATGGCAACTTCATCATCAATATGAAGCAATCCAACTTCTCACAGTATGGTTTCTAGAAGGAAGGAATTGAGTTAAAAAATATCTAGATAAGTTTTTTTATAACCTCCGAAATGAACTTGCTAACTCAATAAAAGTTGTGTGTATATAAGTCTGGTAGAGTTTTTTAAACAGTGTTTGATAAGTCCTGCTACCGATACGCCTAACGAATTCTGGTCGAAAACCAATTTTTTTAGTTTATGGTATTCGGCTGAGTCTAACACGGAATCACAGTTTTATAGTTCACAATAATATCGTCAACTACTTTCGTACTGAAAGCATTCAAATACTTTCAAACTTTTAACAATTATTTTTTCTTTAATTTTCCATCTAGTAATTTCATCTTGGTTTAAAATATTCTAAGTCTCCTATATCTACTTTTGATATACATTTAAACCGTTATGCTAATCTACACACCTCGTTAACTATATTGACATGAATTCGTACATTGTGACTGATTTTTAAACTTGACTGACGCTTTCGACTAATGTTTTACGTCAAACGTGCCTGAGGCACTTGTTATGACACTTATAGCCTTTTTCTCTTAGTTGTATAATTTTCAGCTATAGTATTTGGCTTTGCTTTATGGTTCATACTTTATGAGTTAGGTTCGTGCGCACGCCTATTCTTATAGCGTGTTCTTTCCATATAATTCTAACGCTTATAAATAATGAAATGTCTTGCTAATTACCAAAAATAAACGCTGAAAACCTTTAGAAATTCGAGAATAACATGCTATCCTTAGCTATTTGAATACCATTTCAATGAACTCGTGCAACTAGTCAATCACTTTGATTTTTGTTTCAGGTCGCCTATTGTTTGGTGGTTATAGTGATCATGCTGTGAATATCTGGGATGTACTCAAAGGTCAACGTATTAGTATTCTCTATTGTCATGAAAATCGTATTTCAGCATTACGTGTCAGCCCAGATGGAACAGCTATATGTACTGGGAGTTGGGACACAACTTTACGGGTGATTACTTTTTAAAATTTTCTTTTACGGATACTATTGTTTAAAATAGCTGAAAAATGAGTTTTCGAGGGACTTCTGCTTTGTAACTCATGTCTTCTACCTTCAAATCCTAATCCGTAGATTCACTGTGCTACAATTTTATTTAGGAACCAGATGTTCTAATCAAAAATGCTACAACTCGCTAGCTAATATTCCGGCTGAACCACTGTCACTTGCGTTTGTTTCCTCTGATCTAATGTTTAATTACAGAATATGACTTGTAGATGGGCTCCGTCTAGAAAGTCTACTCCTACAGAAGTGACTCATATTAGCTTCGCATCATAGTTCTTGATTTAGTGTTGACATTGGATGTTGCCGAAATACAACTGGTCGAGTGGGGACAAACGTTTTACACCTATCACTCATAAGTGATACGATTCACAATCACAACAAGAACAATGATCATTCCTGTACTTGTGCGTTTCGTGGAGTAATTGATGTATGTTGTCTATCATCTCGTAAGCATCGAAGAATAATAATGAATAGTATTATCCTTGTACATCTTGCAGTTGACTAGTTTATACATTAGATCCTCTTTGAGCACAGTCATATTACGACAAGTTATACCTAAGTGTAATTATCCCCCCAAAATTATGTATGCGAACTAAGGGGTCGCTATTAGGTTTATAAATATTAACGATATGTTTGTCAGTTACCAATTGAAATATAATGTTAATAATAACGAAATGGGACTTTAGATTTATGGCAATAGTTTGTTTTTAAATATGTTACTTGATACCGCGTGTTGAAATACAATTAAGTTGACTTCTTTAAATAGCACTCAGTGTTATTTGTTTTGTGCCATTTTGGTATAACAGATATTTTATAGAGTTATTGTTCCGTAGAGTTAAAATAATATACATACAGGGTATTTAGTTGGTCCATAACAATAGCTTCGTGTCTAATTCAATAATGGACTGTTAAAACTAGAATAAGCAACATCAAAATTGAATGTAAATATTGGTTTAAAAGCTACAGTTCTAAGTATATTCTTGATAATGAGGTACCGAATAAGTCTTACAACTCTTCGAAAATGCAATCCTAAAATACATTAATATTCACCTAGAAGATAAAAAACGGGCCACTTCAGATTTCTTAACCATATATCATAAGTTTGAGTCTTTTATTGTGGTTAGCTGTTTGGATCATCCTTTTGCGCTTTTTGTTCACAACAAATACTTTAAACAATGATTAGTTATTAGCAATCGAAAATTCAAACAAACTGTAATAATGGATTTTTGAAGAGACAAATTACGAAGATGAAGTAAGACTGTATTTCACTCAGTGTTATATTCCTTATTTTGTAATGTTTGCTTTCGTTCTGTCTGATGAATTCGTCCACACTTACTATTATTAGAATAATATATTAATGTTGGCGCATAATTGTCGATTCACATTGTATTAACTTCATTTTCTATGTAAGTTAATATTTAAAAAAAATCGAATTTTCCATCCACAATATTCACATATGATTTAGGCTATGAACCACACCTACTATAGGCTATAAGGGAGTTAACAATAATTTTTGAATAAACTGTGCGTAAGCTTAAAATAATTTAAGTATTCGCCTCTTTTTACTAATTGTCATACTAATACATCCCTAACATTTAACTATAAATTCATATTTTTACAGATTTGGGCGTAAAAATTTCTTTGTTTATTTTACGGGAAAAATAAATTTCATGAATATATGAACTCATTTTATAATATACATTCGTATTACCTGACATTTTAAAATATTGACTTACTTTATTCTTGCATTTATTAGAGTAAACACGAATCTTTATTTATTTCAAGTATTTTCCTTTTATTATTTGTTCACATTTATAAAAGCTCTCTACGTGTGATAATTCTTATTTTATGCGTGTTATTTCTTCTGTGTATATATTTTATTTAACTTTATTATTATTATTATTATTATTATTATTATTATTATTATTATTATTATTACTAGTTCTCTGTGTTTATTAGATAAACTTACCATATTATGTAATGCATAAATTTGTTAAAAAGCAGCATGTTTTTTGTTTTGTGGAGATATACAATAATTATAAATAGTTGAAATTTGCTTTTTTGGAATGGGACATTCAATAGTTTGGGCGTCTGTGTTAATTCACATGAAATCTTTTATTTTCACTTTTATTATTGTTTTTCTTGGTATCACTGTGATCAAGCACGTTATTGTTTTAATGTATTTAATACTAATAATTGACGAACCATGTTTTACACATACTTTTGTTTAATTCATTATTTGTGATTTTACTGTTTCAATATTGAGTTTTAATTCTTGTTCTAAAATACGGTAACAGGCATTGATAAATATATATCAATTACGACTATCAAAGATAGATTATTGAAACTATATTGTGACCTCCTGTGGGAATGAATAGTGTAATAAATAAATGATTTCCGAGTACTGTGGTAATATAAAAATATGGTATGGGAATATATGAACTCCCTTAAGAACTTATATTGATTAGTGTTATTTGTTGAATGATGTTTAAAAAAATCGTTATTTGTAATTTTACCAAGTTAGTAATTCAACTACCAGTCATACGATTCATTGTTATTTTATTTCCACCAAATTAAACTTCTGGTATCCTAGTATGATTGCAATCTCACTGAATGTTGACTTAACAGTCGACATATACTTTGGACAACCAACAATTTGTTTTTCCTACTGCTTACGACATTATATATATAGGAAGAGATCAATTCTCTGTAATGTTTTTCTATTCCTCTAGTTTTATATACCAAGTTTACTTACTGTAGTGATATAACTGATTCTATGCACCTAGTCTGTGTAATTTACATGACCTAATTGTAGTCACATGAAATTTCAATGATTCAAATACTTTTTCCGTGTTAACATAATTATACTTACCCTGGTAATTATTCACATGAATTTCCAGTAACTGGTCAGTCGTACTCACTGCCTTTTCGCGGCAGTGATGCTGTTGACGAAATTGAGGGGATGAAAAGCGAATATCCGGCGCTTTAAGCGGGTTTGTGGATACGATGAATTCACCTAGGGGAGTTGGAAGACCCTAATCCCAGACCAATGATGCACATGGGCTCCAGGGTCGTGAAGGAACAATGGGACTGCATCTCCTTACGTTGCTCCATTGTCCTGTGAATTAGACCTTTGGGTCAAAGGCTCGCGGAGCGACCTAAGGAAACCTGATTCGGTTTGGGCGCCCGGACTGTATCCCGGCCCTCACAGTAATCCAGTGACATGTTTGACGCATATGTAGTTGGTGCCTCTTCGTACCGATGTTAATGTGTTTAAATATGTAAATGGTTTTAATTCCGCTTGGCTTGTTATTACTGGACTTCATTACTGTGACTTGATATATATATATATATATATATATATATATATACCAATATCGATTTTTCTGCCAGTTATTTAGATAAAAATGTTTATTTTCTAAGATTTGACATATTAAAAAGCGGATGTCAGTGTACAACTTGTTGATCATTAAAGTCTGTTTTAAGACTATATTAAGGTTAGATTTGTCATAAACTGTTCTTAAATCCATCAAAGTAGTTATCAATTTTCGAAAATGGGTTTTGGTGCTGATTATCCCAAAAGGCCCATCGTGTTGGAAGAGTTTCGGGAGCTGGTCGTCTGTAGAATTAATAATTATCTGTAACAATCTGCTATTTCGCAAATCGTGTGGACACAAAAATTTTCGCAATATTCTGTAGATAGTAAAAGACATTCTAGATGATCATTCATTCTTGCTAAGTCGGAATCACGTAACATAGGTTACTCCTTCTTCATATCTAGTTATTTTTGCTATTTCAATGACTGTATGGGACGAAAATAATCAATGTATTAGTAAGAATAGCTACAAGAAACAGACTGTGACAACTGTCGCGCGGGCTGGTCTGTGGTATGTGACAGGTTCATGTGTGTTGGTTGTCCCTGACGCGGACGAAGGTCATTGGGCTATCCGATTAAAAATGATTTGGCCGCCATAGGTGACTTGATGGGCCGTGACACTTTGCTGCCCCTACAAATGTAAGTCAGAAACGTTATTAGTGACTTACTTAATGGAGTGATCAGGAAGAAATCAGAATACTGATTAGCGTATTTTTCTCGGACAAAGGGCTCAGTATTTGTTGAATTTTAATCCTGTATTTTTACTCAGATACCTGAAAAGCTGCAGATAATTTTGGTGTATTAGAATTCGTATACAAATCTCATCATGAAAACTGGTTTGATAGGTTTATACACTGCAAAAGTTTGGAGGATCTTTATACACAGACCGTTGGTTTACTATTATCCTACTTATTAAGTTTTCCCTCCACTCGATATCAATTTTATGAAACTTTTAGTTGTGATCAGGTGTTCTGAAGTGATTTCGCACTTAACGTGAGCATTTCAGTTGTAAAAAGTTGTTCTGTCCTTAAAGCTCAAGAACGATTACTATGTGCTTCACTCTAAATCCTTAAACCTATTCTTATTCGGGTCAATCTATGTCCAACCTCATCCAGCACCTCGGCTATAACTTTTATATTAATGGTCGGATGATTTTTTACAATGAAGTGTAGTGAGATGAGTGAAAAGACTGAATATAAAACAGATCATCGATCCCTGTCAAAATCAAGGACAACCAACGCGCATCAGTTAATCGTATATTATGGACGGGCCCATGCGTTGGTGGTCCCACTATCTTCTCTGTACTCACTCTTACATGTACATTACGTTGGCCCATTATACTTATTTTCATGAACTTTCAACATGAACACATTACTTCACAGTGTCTTCGTTCCCTTTTGCCATCATTTTGTGTAATCTTGTACCGACGGTTAAAATAATTCATGTACATTGGTATTTGCTTTCACCATATCTGTTGGCAAAAGTTTTCGATTTTTGCAATATGTAATTAGTGCTCTTTGGAATAATACTACGTGACAACTAACTAAGTATTTAACTTTAATTCGCCATTCAACGTATGACTAACCGAATGCCCATATGTATTGATGAAGAGTAACCCGACAAGTAGTAAAGAAGAAATTATTGATTACGACTGGAGCAAACAGTACGGTGATCAACAGTCTAAGGGTATACTGTAAAATCCATTTTCACTTTACTGTGAATATATGTGTAACAATACATCTATTCATGTTTTTCCTTATGATCATCACATTGTTCTTTCTTAAAATGTATTGTTTCCTGTATGTATACATATTTCGTCTCGTTTCTGTTATATCTAAGCGAAAATAAATTAACTATAATCATTGGGGGTTGCTTATGGACTGATGTTATACGTATATTCTTATTGTATGATTTAAGTGACCATACAATTCGTATATTTATATTCCTTCCATTATAAGCTATTATCTGACGTGATAGTTACTGTTATAATTTACTATTCTCAAGTTATTCTCAAAATATTGGTCACAGTTTCTCGTGAACACAGCCACTTTTTGCTTGATTTTGCCTATATGTTTTCTTTTTCATGGTGTGGTGTGGTTTGATTTTACTTATATGTAAATGGAGTGTCTAAAATATGTAATTCGTATCGCGAAGGCTGAGATCGGCATTTTGAACTTAACTGGCAGGGCTGGTCGTACTGGTGTATGCGTCGTTAGCTTGGTCGCATATATAACTTAATTGACAATCGTATTTGGCGCTAATCGCATAAGTAAAAGGACATAACAGATTCACATCTGTTCCACAAAGAATTCTGAACTATGGACGTTGCCAAACGAAATTTTTTTGACTGATTTTGTTCGATTTATTCATGATGTGATTCAATGACAAGAAGGAATAATGTTTCGAATAGTAATGATCGAACTGGGAGCTATTTACTTAGTGATATTTCAGCGATTTTTGGATGAATAAACTGGCAATGTGATGTAATTAGCTTAATCTTATCACTTGTCAACTTCTTATTGTGTTCCTAATGTTTAGTTTCTAGTTTATACCTCAATGTTTGTTAGTCTAAACGTGGTAGCGCCTGCTGGAGAAAAAAGTTTTCAAATGTATTCTGTCTCGTTTGAAATTATACTCATCCATCCATAACCACTAGTTCATACTCCCTTGTGTAGGTTTGGATTTTAATTGTTACTTTTCACCACGCTCATCTAAGACGCATTTTAGACAATTCTCTGGTCCAGATCCGGCTGCGTTACCACTATTTAGGACTTTACGGTTGCCGATTCTGCGACAATATAAGATGATAAACAGAGTATACTCTTATTAAACGTGGCTCACGAACAATCTATTCCATATCTTCTCATTCTGCTGAAGTAAGTGTATCAACTGAAGACAAACAGACATTAAACATTATCAATAAGCGATCAATGATGATAAAATCGTGAATTCATTGACAAGCTCTGAAAGCACCCTTATTTCTGATGTGCCTTTCAAGATCATGGTTCATATGACTATAGAACTGTCATACTGTTATGTACGGCAGAATATCTTTCGTAGAGACATTTTCAACGTGTTTATTGAATGAGTCAGCTGAATTCGACATACCTTACTAAGGCATGGCCTAAGTAGATCTCATAAGCTTCAAAGAGAGTTTTTAAGATAGCTGCCTATAACTGACTGTCAAGAGCATAAAAATCTACCGCAATGGCGTAGGCTAGAGGGAAAGGAAACATAGTGCAGCGGTAAATAAATCCCCAAAATAAATAGCCCCAAGTTTTCGACATTGGATGCTGACCATATGTTTTAGTGGACTCATCTAGCTGAAGGCGCTCGGTCAGGCATCCGCACCAGATCACGTGTGGTAACGCCGTGCTCAACTGCTACTGCAATCGCTAGCCAGATTAGATCAGAGAATTCCGATATATTGGTTATCGCCAAATATACTCTTCCGATCTCCTCGACTCTGTCTTTTGATTTCTCTCGGTGGGTACAAATTATATTGGAAGGTGTTGCTGGTAAAAGCGTTGTCAAACACTGAATACCTGTGTCATCTTCATTGGTGAGACCAACGTGATCTGGTACACCTAATTGCAACTGCGAGTCTGTTCCATTTTGGGATTTTTATATATAATTGACTTATTTCTTATTTTTTAAACGTGATTTTTTTCGTGTTTTTTCTTGGATATATATTTATTTTCTCCTCGTTTACTATCGTACTTAATATTTCATCATGACTGAACAGACACCCAAAGTACTCAAGCTTAAGACTTTGTCCCCGCCTTCGTTTCAACTGATGCCTTTCTGGCCCGACAACATCGAAGCCTGGTTTCGCTACGCAGAAGCCGACTTCTCCGAGCACGGCGTGAACGACACACGTGCACAATTCATCGCAGTAGTCAAGGCGCTACCGCGGGAATTCAACAGGTACGTAACACCTAGTATGTTTACTAGTG